TTTCATCTTCCTTCCTTCCTTCCTTCCTTCCTTCCTTTCTTCCTCCTTTCTCATTTTCATCTTCCCTCTTCCTTCCTTCCTTCCTTCCTTCTCATTTTATCTTCCCTCTTCTTTCCTTCCTTCTCATTTTCATCTTCCTTCCTTCCTTCCTTCCTTCCTGCCTTCCTTCCTTCCTTCCTTCCTTCCTGCCTTCTCATTTTCATCTTCCTTCCTTCCTTTCCCCTTCCTCCTTCCTCCCCACTTTCATCTTCCTTCCTTCCTTCCTTCTCATTTTCATCTTCCTCATTTTCATCTTCCTTCCTTCCTTCCCCCTTCCTCCTCCCTCCCCATTTTCATATTCCTTCCTTCCTTCCTTCCCATCTTCCTCTCCCCTTCCTCCTCCCTCCTTTCTAATTTCTCCTTCCTTCCTTCCTTCCTTCCTTCCTTCCTTCCTTCCTTCCTTCCTTCCTGGCTATAAAAATTAAGATTTTGAGTATCAAAAATTTATGCAGTCAAGACATTTAGTAGTGCTGTAAGTAACCATTTCTGCCTGCTGCGTCTCTACCATAGCTGAACTTGGAAAGCACTATGCTTTTACAGAGAAGTTGCAGGCTTAGTTTCACGAGGGCATCTTTTTTATGAAGCTCCATCAGTTGAATGTCTGCCTAGATTCAGCTTCTGCCAGCCGAGAACTGACCTGAAAGAGAAGGACAAACCATGATTGGTGGATTCTGACTGGTCAGCCATCATAGCTAAGGAGATGAAGCCAAGATTTTACAGGTGTAGGTGGAAATTCTGGGCCAAAACTTGGCATATAAATACTTTAAATTAGTGTGTTTCAATTTTGGCCCCTTTAAGTTGGGTGGACTTCAACTCCCAGAATTCCCCAGCCAACCATGCTGGCTGGGGAATTCTGGAAGTTGAAGTCCACTCATCTTAAAGCAGCCAAGGTTGAAAAACATTGGAAGGAATGAATGAATGTTTATCTAAACACTTAAAATCACATTCTACTTCCTTGGGAGTTTGAAAATACAAATGGAAATTGGTTTACAGGGACTTTGAAGCATTTTTTAAGATTCCTTGAATATTAAATAAATGCTCAGATGGATGCTATCTGTTTGCCTGGTATAATCCTTCAGAAGTAGATAATGGATTGAACTCCACTCCTCTTAAAATCTATATCAGGGGTCTTCAAACTTGGCCCTTTTATGACTTGTGGACTTCAACTCTCAGAATTCCTCAGCCAGCCTGCCCAGCTGAGGAATTCTGGGAGTTGAAGTCCACAAGTCATAAAAGGGCCAAGTTTGAAGGCCCCTGATCTGGATCCAAGCCTGCCGTTTCATCAAAATGGCCGTCTGAGGAATTCTGGGAGTTGAAGTCCACAAGTCATAATAGGGCCAAGTTTGAAGACCCCTGATCTGCATAGCCATCTATTCTCCAAAGCCCCTGAAGGCAGGACAAGAAGCAACAGATGGAAACTAATCAAGGAGAGAAGCAACCTAGAACTAAGGAGGAATTTCCTAACAGTGAGCCCAATTAACCAGTGGAACTGCTTGCCACCAGAAGTCACGAGTGATCCAACACTGGAGGTTTTTAAGAAGAGACTGGACAGCCATTGGCCTGAAATGGTATAGGGTTTCCTGCCTGAACGGGGGGGGCTAGACTAGAAGACCTCCAAGGTCCCTTCCAACTCCGTTCTTCTGCTCTTGTTTCAGATCATTTCGGGCACAAAAGACCTGGTCACTGGAGCTAAGGAGGCGGTGAGCTCCACCGTCAGCGGCATGGTGGACAGAACCAAGGAAGTGGTCCAGGGTGGTGTGGAGATGACCCGCTCGGCCGTCCAGGGCGGTGTGGACATGACCCGCTCAGCTGTCCAAAGTGGTGTGGAGATGACCCGCTCGGCGGTCTCCAGTAGTGTCAACACCGTCATGGAGTCTTCCGTGGGCCAGATGGTGTCCAGCAATTTGGAAGCTGCTCTTGGGAAATCTGAAGAGATTGTGGACCACTATCTCCCCATGACGGATGAAGAACTGGGTGAGTTGGTTGTTCAAGGGAAACATGAAGATGGCCACCTTAAGATGGGTGGACTTCAACTCCGAGCTATAAATGGGTTCCTTGGTGGTTTCTGAGCTTGGTTGTTTTCTTGGAGATGTTTCATGACCCAACTAGATAATGTCATCAGTACTGGTAGAGGGTGGGGATAGGTCTCCATCTGTATTGATTACCGAACGGGACAGACGTGACCACCCCTACCAGAACCACCAAGGAACTTATCCGACACCAAACAACAATCGAACAAACAGACTCAACAATCACCGTTCGGTGACATACATCTCTCGTTTAGGGTGCACGGGTAGATCGTGACTACTACAATGGATCAACCTGTTCCTTTACAGAGGTACTTTTGTTGGTTCGAGAGACAGCACCAAGGATCCCACAGCCATTGTCTTCTTCTTCCTCCTCCTCTTCTTCCTCCTCCTCCTCCTCCTCCTCCTCCTCCTCCTCCTCCTCCTCCTCCTCCTCCTCCTCCTCCTCCTCCTCTTCTTCTTCTTCTTCTTCTTCTTCTTCTTCTTCTTCTTCTTCTTCTTCTTCTTCTTCTTCTTCTTCTTCTTCTGCTTCTGCTTCTTCTGCTTCTGCTTCTGCTTCCTTCTTCTTCTTTCTTCTTCTTCTTCTTTTTCTTCTTCTCCTTCTCCTCCTTCTCCTCCTCCTTTCTTTCTTCTTTTTCTTCTTCTTCGTCTTCTTCTTCTCCTTCTTCCTTCTTCCTCCTTCTTCCTTCTTCCTTCCTCCTCCTCCTCCTCCTCCTCCTCCTCCTCCTTCTTCTTCTTCTTCTTCTTCTTTTCTTTTTTTCTTTCTCTCTTTCTTTCTCTCTTTCTCTTTTTCTCTTTTTCTCTTTCTCTCTCTTTCTTTTTCTTTCTCTCTTTCTATTCTCCTCCTCCTCCTCCTCTCCGCAAACCCAGCCCTTCTAGCAGTGATAATGTTGCCTAGTTGGGTCATGAAACGCCTGCAAGAAAACCACCCAGCTCAGAGAGCACCAGGGATCCCACAGTTCAACCCTGAGCTCCAAAGACCCCTTGTGTTGGCGGGATGTGTTGGGTAAACCCAGTTTTTATCGCTCTTTTTTTTCTAGCCCAGCTGGCTACCTCCGTGGAGGGCTTCGAAGCTGGCACGGTGGAACAGCAGAAGGAGCAGAAAAGTTACTTTGTGCGCCTGGGGTCCTTGTCCAGCAAACTTCGTCACCGGGCTTTCCAACATTCCCTGGCCAAGTTGAAAAAGGCCAAGCAGGGCACCCAGGACACCCTGTCCCAGCTGCACCAGACCATTGAACTGGTAAGGAGAAACGGGTAGGGAATGAAAGACGTGGGGGCGCGGTGGTTAGAATGCAGCATTGCAGGCTGACTCTGCTCCCTGCCTGCAGTTCGATCCTAACCAGCTCGAGGTTGACTCGGCCTTCCGTCTTTCTGAGGTCGGTAAAAGGAGGACCCAGATTGTTGGGGGCAAATATGCTGACCCTGTAAATTTCTTAGGAAGGGCTGTAAAGCACTGTGAAGCGGTAGATAAGTTTAAGTGCTATTGCTATCTACCATCCATCCATCCATCCATCCATCCATTATCTATCTATCTATCTATCTATCTATCTATCTATCTATCTATCTATCTATCTATCTATCTATCTATCTATCTATCTATCTATCTATCTATCGGGAGTTCAGACAGATTGGTCTGATTGTGAACACCTTGACATTTTCAACTGCCATACTGCAGTTTACTCTTTTTACAATATCTCTTGCCTTGCCGCCCCCAACTAGGGGCATAGAGCAGGCTCAAGTCGCAACTGCGAAATATTTTTATATCCAAATTTCTTTTTTCTGACAATTTTAATTCTTTACTTCTTTAATTCTTTAATTCTTTACTCTTTGTCAGAAAAAAGAAATTTGGCTATCTATCTATCTATCTATCTATCTATCTATCTATCTATCTATCTATCTATCTATCTATCTATCTATCTATCTACCTACCTACCTACCTACCTACCTATCTATCTACCTATCTACCTACCTATCTCATCTCTATATCTACAATATCTGTCTTTCACTGTCTATATCAGTGGTGGTGAATGTATGGCACGCATGCCAGAGGCGGCACTCGGAGCCCTCTCTGTGGGCACGCACCCCATTGCCCCAGACTCACCTCCCCCGCAACCCCCTCCTCACCAGCAGCCCCCCTGGAGGAGAGTCGCCCCCGAGCGTGGCCCACGCGAAGCAGCGCAGCCAAGGACATGGCAGCCAGGCAGCGTAGACAAGACTCTGCTCTCACGCCCCATCGCGCACAGTTGTTGCTGCGAGGGGGCGGGCAGAGGGCGTGGCCGCCATGGCGCTGCTGGGCTGCCTGGGCGATCTGCGGCGGGCCCTGGAGGTGGTGAGCGGCCCTGTGGGCAGGCAGGGCGGGGATGGGGGGGCAGAGCAGGGGCGGGGCAGGGGGTAGAATGGGGGTGGGGCCAGTTTTGGGGCACTCAGTCTCTAAAAGGTTTGCTATCACTGGTCTATATTCTCTCTCTCTCTCTGTTTAAAAGGCAACTCTGGGGGGTTCCTGTGTTGCTTTCCCACCCCCCACTTTTTTTTTGGAGTTGCTGACTCAGCCATTTTCTTGGTCTCTTCCCAGATTGAACACGTCAAACAGGGGGTTGATCAGAAGATTCAAGGGGGCCAGGAAAAGCTCCATCAGATGTGGCTGCAGTGGCAGCAAAAACAGTCTCCTAAGAAGACCCAGAAGGATGCCCCCGAGACACAGGTACAGAATAACAGAGTTGGAAGAGACCTCGGAGGTCCTCTAGTCCAGGGGTTCCCAACCTGCGGGCTGGGACAGGCACACTCTCTCACTCACACTAGTGCAGTAGCCGGGTGCAAAAATGGGCCGCCACCGCAGGGCGCGAAAACGGGACACCGCCGTGCCTCGGGGCATGAAAATGGGACACCAATGCTGCACCTTGGGGCGTGAAAACGGGATCCCGCCATGCCTCAGGTCACAAAAACGGGATGCCGCCGGGCCTCGGGGCACAAAAATGGGTCACCAGTGCGCTGCGGGGTGCAAAAACAGGCACTGCCATACCACGGGGCACAAAAACAGCGGCCCCGCCGCTGCACCATGGGGTGCAGAAACAACATGCTGCACCATGCATGAACGGGGCAGGGCTAGTACCACATGGGCGCTAGTTCCACCCTGTTTGCAATGCATGCTCGCGGCCCCGTGTGTGCATACATGTAAATTGCTTCCTCCTGCCTTTTCCTCCAGTCCGTCAACCGACAAAGTTGGTGACGTCTTTTCTAGCCCGACCCCTGCTCAGGCAGGAAACCTTATCCCATTCTAGACAAATGGTTGTCCAATCTCTAGACCAGGGGTCCCCAACCACTGGGCCACGGCCCACTACCGGGCCGTGGCCTATTTGCAACAGGGCCGCATAAACGGCAGGGCAGTGTGCATGTGCACACACAGCTCGACTCGTGCAAGTGGCAAGCCGGTGCACACATATGTGCTCGCAGCTTGCACACTGCAGCTCACATGGCTGGGAGGGGCAGGAACCGGGCCGCATGAGTGGTGGGCCAGCATACGCATAACTCAAATAGTTGAGCTGCATGTGAACGCCGGCCTTCTGCTTGCGTGAGTCGCTTAAGCTCAGCTGGGCGTTCCCTTCTCCCTCCCAGCTAGGCTGTCAAGCCACAAAGGTTGGGGACCACTGCTCTAGACCAGAGGTCCCCAACCTTTTGGGCACCAGGGACCGGTTCCGTAGAGAGTTTTTTCCGCGGACCAGAGAGGGTGTGATTTTGTGTGTGCTGTCTGCATCTCGCGGATGGGGTTTTGCTTGTTTGTGCAGACCGGTTGCTGGTGTGCCGCAGCCCGCTACCGGTCTACAGACCTGGGGTTGGGGACCCCTGCTCTACACATAATCACCTGAAGAATTAACTAACCTGACTCTCGCTTGGATCCCTGTTGCAGGAGATCGGGTCCCAAGCGCTGGAGGTCTCCCGCGGCCTCACCCAGCAGCTCCAGTCAACTACAACAACGTTGGTCTCCAACCTCCAAGGTCTGCCGGCCGGGCTTCAAGAGAAAGTCGGTCTGGTCCGTCAGAACGTGGAGGAGCTCCGAAGTGCCTTCATGACCGCTGGGTCCTTCCAGGACCTGTCGGGATCCATCCTAGCTCAGAGCCGGGAAAAAGTCGCCAAGGCCCGTCAGTTGACGGATGAGCTGATGGATCACGTGGTACAAAATGTCCCTCTGACTTGGCTCGTAGGCCCTTTCGCGGCCTCGGGCAAAAAAGAGGAGGAAGGAATAGAAATGAAATAGGATTCCAAGGATGTGAGCAATTTAGAGTATTGTTAAGTGTAAGAAGGTATTTTGTTTTGGGGGGGGGTTTGGAGCAAAAAGGAGAATTAAGCTCGGCTGCCAATAGTTTAAATAAATATAGAAATTCTGGGTGCAAAAGCTTTCTCAACCAAGTAAAGCCAAGGGGTTTTTTTTTTTGATGATCCAGTTTTCCTAACATGATCCAGTGAAATGTAGTAAATCGGCAATTTGGGAGGCATTTTTTTTCCCCGCCAACTCAACACCCACTTTTTTGACTTTGCAGGATTAGGAGAATCCATTTTCAGTGGATGTGGGCCAAAGGAAAAAGGGGTTACCTATCTTTTTCAACTTCTTTTCGATGGCAGGGAGGTGATTCCTGCAAGGGAAATCTCGGAAATAAAGAATTATTCACTTTGGTGCAAAATGCAGGAAAGCAACGGGGACGTTAACCAATTACACCTCAGTAGTGCCTTTTTCTTCTGATTCCCCCCCCCCCCACCTTTCCTGGTGATAATTCTCTGACTTTCCCCTTTTTCTGCTGAGGGCACAGAGTCAGATTTTTTTGCAAATAGTTCCAGAACGGAGAAAGCTGAAATGGCCAGAAATTTAAGTGGGATGAAGGGATGGAGACAAAGGTTAGGAAATTATCTGGGTTGTTTTTATTTCAGCCTTTCTCGGTGCCTGTGTAGACTTTAGGTGGGAGAAGGGAAAATGAGATTAAAGATCTTTGCAAAATTTCTTCTGTATTTGCAAGTGATGTTGTTATCTAGGGGCAGTGTAGCATCCCCTGGTTGAAGTTCTTCCCATCATTTACAACAGTGGGCGACTTTAAGACTTGTGGACTTCAACTCCCAGAATTCCCCAGCCAGCATGGCTGGCTGGGGAATTCTGGGAGTTGAAGTCCGCAAATCTTAAATTTGAAGAGCCCTGATTTACAGGGTGGAATCAAGTCTTATCTTTGAAGAAGGGGAACCATCATAGCTGATCAGAGTTGTTTCATTTTCAACTCCTTGCTTGTAATGACTTTTCAGCGTTTTCCAACAACTCTTTGTATGTTGTGTAAACTGATTTGCCCAATATGCTTCCCATTGTCGATTTATAACCCGTGCCTTAACTCACAAAAATAAAACTAATATCATATTGCATTAAAAAAAACCACCAAGAGAGTTTTCATGTTTACCAACGGGGGGAGGAGGAGGAGAGGTCATCCAACTGTCCCAATTGGTTTGTTCCAGGTGATAGGATGAGGTAGCTTTTGCTAATTGGGAATGAGAAGTGGGGAACATGAGGACTGGAAGCTTAAGATATGGCTTATGCACGTAGCAGCAGGCAATTGGAAGGGGGAGGGTTATGCAATGGGAAAGGACAACAGCTAAGGGAAAAATGGTATCGGGGGGGAGGAACTACGGAAGGGAATAATATTGAAAAGGAAGTAGAAAAGGGAAGAATGGAGAAGGTCTTTGATTTATCCATGTCAGTTTTTCTTAGGAGCTGAAGGACAACACAGGAAAACTCAGTTTCCAATTATAAGAATATAGATTGTGCAGGACCATACCAAGTCCTGTTTCCATTAATGGGGATTGAATTGAGAGAATAGAATAGAATAGACTAGAATAGAATAGAATAGAATAACAATACAAAGAATACAAATATAGAATAGAATAGAGTAGAATAGAATAACAATACAAATATAATACAAATAGACAATAGAATAGAATAGAATAGAAAAATACAAATATACAAATAGACAATAGAATAGAATAGAAAATAGAATAGAATAGAAAATAGATTAGAAAATAGAATAGAATGGAATAGAATAGAATGGAATAGAATAACTATACAAATATAATACAAATAGACAATAGACAACATCACCACCAGATGGATCTGTAGCTGGCTGACAAACTATACTCAACGAGTAGTCATCAACAGCACTACATTCACATAGAGAGAAGTTAGCAGTGGGGTACTACATGGTTCTGTCTTAGGGCCAGCATTCTTCAATATCTTCATAAATGACTTAGATGAGGGAATTGAAGGGGAACTTATCAAATTTGCAGATGACACCAAACGGGCAGGAGTAGCCAACACCCCGGAAGACAAACTCAGGATCCAAAAAAAAATCCTGACAAACTCAAACAATGGGCCCTATCCAACAAAATGAGTTTCAATGTGGAAAAAATCAAAGTCTTACACTTAGGCAGGAAAAATCAAAGGGACAAATACAGATTGGGCAAGACCTGGCTTAAAAACAGTAACTGTGAGAGGGACCTTGGAGTCCTAGTGGACAATCACTTGACTATGAGCCAGCCGTGTGCAACAGCAGCCAAAAAAGCTAATACAATCCTGGGTTGTATAAACAGAAATAGAATCAAGATCACACGAGGTATTGGTACCGCTTTATAAAATCCCTAGTAAGACCACACCTGGAATACTGCAACCAATTTTGGTCACCATATCACAAAAAAGATGTTGAGAGTTTGGAAAAAATTCAGAGAAGAGCAACTACGATGATCCAAGGCCTGGAGACTAAAACATACGAAGAACGCCTGCAGGACTAGGGTTTGGCTAGTCTAAAGACAAGAAGAAATGGGGGAGACATGATAGTCTTCCAGTATCTGAGGGCCTGCCACAAGGCAGAGGGGGTCAGGATGTTCACCAAAGCACCAGAGGGAAGGACGAGAAACAATGGATGGAAACTGGTCAAGGAGAGAAGCAACCTGGAATTAAGGAGAAACTTCCTGACAGTGAGGACAATCAACCAGTGGAACAGCTTGCCACCAGAAATTGTGGGCGCTCCATCACTGGAGATTTTTATGAAGAGACTAGACAATCACCTGTCTGAGATGGTGTAGGTTCTCCTGCTTGAGCAGGGGGCTGGACTAGAAGACCTCCAAGGTCCCTTCCAGCTCTATTCTATTCTATTCTATTCTATATTCTATATTCTATATTCTATTCTCTATTCTCTATTCTCTATTCTGTTCTCTCTTCTCTTCTCTTCTCTTCTCTTCTCTTCTATTCTATTCTCTTCTCTTCTATTATTCTATTCTATTCTATTCAAATACAAATCAAATACAGGTAGACCTTGACTTACATCAACATATTTATGGCCTCTCAAAGTTAACAACAGTACTGAAAAAAAAGGACTCTCAGTCATTTTTCACACAACCGTTGCAAAATACGCTTAACAAATTTCGCTTTTAAACACCTTCCAGGTTACCACCATCTTGTGGCAAGGGAGTTCCACCATTAACAGGTGGCCGCCCAGAGTTCCTAAAACTCTCCTTTTCATTAGTCTTTTTTTTTTTACCCCCCAATCCGTTTACGAAATAACGGCCCTGTCATCCAGGTGGAAAGTTTTTCCGTTTGGCTCTCATATTGTTCCAGTTACGTTTCTGTGGCAGCAAAAACATAAGATTATTAGCCAGTTGTAAAAGGCGGATAGCTTTTAAATTTGCCATTGAAGTGGAAGTCAAGTTAAATGAATCACACTTTTTTAACCTGGTTGGTGTCAACGCTGCTAATATTGAATATTCTTGCTTTGACAAAATATGCAGAACTGTCTGGTATTTTTAGAGAATTCAGATGACAGAGAAAGGGAAGGAGAATTATAAGGAAAGCCCCAACGGAAGTGAATCTTTGCCCTCCAGGTTAATTGGAAGATATGAATAATGGCCCCAAAATAGGGGAGGGGAAATGCCTGGAATGTTATGTGCAAAGGAAGGGAAATTCAGATCTTGGCATCCACCATGCCGTGCTGACACCCCTCTACACTAATAAAAGGTTTTTTTAGGTTAAAGCAGTGGTGGCGAACCTACGGCACGCGTGCCAGAGGCGGCACTCAAAGCCCTCTCTGTGGGCACGCATGCCATGCCCCGGAAATGGCAACCGTCCCTCTTCAACCAGCTGCCCGCTAACTCGCCGAGGTCCCACGTGGCCGGATGCATCCCAGCACGGTTGGTTTCCCTCCCCTCCATCCCATCCCTCCTGGCCTCGCATGCTCTCCTTTTCCCAGGCACGACCCACTGCATCACCTCCTCAGCTGTCGGCTATCCATCCAGCTTAGAGGTGGCTTCTCTGAACTGCTGGCGGCGGGCTGTTGAGCCCCAGAGTGCGCCAATCGAGGGGTCGGCAGGCTGTGGCTGCTGACGGACACTGTTGGCCCCCATGCGCTCGCTGACCTCTGTGTGCGGGGCCGATGGTGTCAGGCAGCAGCCGCCACAGCCCCTGCCTCGCCTTGCCCTGCGACAATGGCACCCCCGCCCTGCCTCGCCTTGCCTCGCCTCACCCCGCAGGACGAGCCTCCTGCCCACCGCTCCACCTGCCAGAGACCCCCTGGATCTCCCCCAACCCTGCCCGGCCCCCACAGGCATCCCTCCACATGAGCAACAGCGAGGTGATCACGCCCACCTTGTCTACACCCACCCAATCTGCCATGACCACCACAGCCATGCCCACCCAGAGGGCCATGCCCACCTGGCACCTGGCAATAAATAAGTGGGTTTTGGGTTGCAATTTGGGCACTCGGTCTCTAAAAGGTTCGCCACCACTGGGTTAAACCATGCCTGAAAGTTCTTTGAAGTGTTTCATTAGTCAGACACATGACAGTTGGTTCTGTGGAATGGGTTTAGCAGCAACATCAAAAACCAACATGGGCTTTTCTTTAAGAATTCCAGATTTATGTTTTTTTCCTCCAGAAAAAGGAACAATGAAAGGCTAGAAACGGAGAGGGTAAGAGTTTGGGTCTCCTAAACAGGGTACAGGTAGTCCTTGATTTATGACCCCCAAAATTGACCCCCAAAATTCCATCAGGAGAAACTTCCTGACAGTGAGAACAATTAACCAATGGAACAACCTGCCTCCAGAAGCGGTGAATGCTCCAACACTGGAAGTTTTTAAGAAGAGACTGGACAGCCATTTGTCCGAAATGGTATAGGGTTTCCTGCCTGAGCAGGGGGTTGGACTAGATGACCTCCAAGGTCCCTTCCAACTAATAATAATAATAATAAATTATTATTATTATTATTATTATTATTATTATTATTATTATTATTACTAATTCGAGACAATTGTTAAGTGAGCTTTGCCCCATTTTAGCACCTCTCTTGTCACAGTCCTTCAGAAAACCCTTGCAGTTGGTAAGTTAATAAGAGAATCTGGCTTCCCTTTTGATCTGGTTTGTCAGAAGGTCGTAAAAAGAGGATCAGGTGACTCTGGGACACTGCAACCGTCGTAAATATGAGTCAG